TGGCATGTTTTGCTGGGGCATCGAACCATGCTGTCTGTGCTTTGCCAAGCTTGTTCCAAGTAGGTGCTTTAGACCACTGAGCCATCTCACCAGCCCTAGACTTTTTTTTTTTTTTTTTTAAAGGAACTACATTTTAATATGGACTATTGGTCCACTTGAAATTCTTTCATGAAATTCACTGACTTCATGAATGTATTCATGCATACATTTGTTGCAGAACAAGACAACACCTGAGGCCAAGTGTTGGCTTCATAGAAGTGATTGAAACATAAGGTTTTCTAAAAAAGAATACCTTGTACACCCTTCCCTAAAATACAAAACAAACAAAAATCAAAAGAATAGTTGAGACAGAGGGTTTTGGAGTCAGGGTGTGTTTTAAGAAAGGAGAACTTCAATACATAGTAATTCCTGTTGAGCTGTAGGAGTAACAGTTTTATGGTGTTGAAACTGGAAAATAGTAATTCGTCATTCTTTTCACATGAACTAATCCAAGAACTGATTTCCTGAGACATCAATGCATTGGACTAGGGCCATCCAGATGGAGAATAGACCCCAACTTCAAGGAGCCTTGAGGTTAATAAGGGGACTGTCCTGCTTGCCCTTTAGCTAGCTGTGTGTAACCATGCAGAGACTGTTTCTTTTTATACATGATTTAAAAAGGGAAGAAAATTCAGCAATTTCCTTATTGTATTGTCATATGTTTTTCATTTTAAAGAGTGTTTCTGCCTTCTCTGGAGAAGCTGGGGTTTTGTTGGGCTTTTCCAAAATGCTTTATTGCTTGAGTCTTCATGAAAGCTGATACTGGAATTTCTTGGTAAATGATTCTATTCCTAAACTTAGAAATTGGGCCCAGTGCTGTTTTACTCAGGAGGGAAATAAGGCCCACAGGCAATACAGTTTGCCTGGGATCACAAGCTAGACTGAGACCCCATTGGAGGCAGAGGCTATGGGAGCAGAGTACTCTAGATGGACTATGTGATTGACTCTGGATATTGATTTGGTTCTGATAAGGTGTAATGACTTTTCCTTCTGCTGCATGAAGTATCTGTCCTTTGCATGCCAAAAATAGGCCCTAGGAATGTTTTACTGCTTGATTTTTTTAATCAAGATGCATAGTGGCTTTTGGTGGGCAATTGGAAGTGGCTGCGAGGTTCTGGCAGAGCTTGGGCTGTGTGTGTGTGTGTGTGTGTGTGTGTGTGTGTGTGCCTGGCAAGTGCATATACATGAAGACTGGCTTGGGACAGTTGTGAAGTGAGCTGGTACATATATGTGCCTGTCTAGGGGTAAAGCTTGAACAACCCTGTGCTTCCAGACTTACATAGTCTACAGAACAACGATCATAACCAGCTTGGAGTTGGTTCTAAACAGCAGGATTCTTCTCTTCTGATGAACTATCTATAGTTGGTTCTCTATAGTCTATTTGGCTGGAGATGGGTAGGCTGAAACCCAGCAGCTAATGGGAAAGCCCATATTGCCAGACATGGTGGTGCATGCCTACAATACATGGGAGGATCTTAATGACATTTGAATTGGTGATTCCCTAAGTCCTCAGGCCAATCTTCAGCTGGGGTTTCTTACTTTCATGGTGTAAATGCAGATCGTGACCAAACTTGGAGTCCCCTCCTGCCCTGTGCTATGAATTGAATATTTGTGTCCTCAGAATTTGTAGGTCATCGCCCTAACTCAGAATGTGATGGTATTTGGAGGTGGAGCTATTGGGAAGCAGTTAGATCATGAGGGTGGAGCCTTAACAGGAGTGGGATTAGTGCCCTTAAAGAGAGACCCAGAGAGATATTCTCTGTCTTCATCTGTGAAGGCACAGCAGAAAGGCCTCCCTATACAATCTAGGAAGACGGCCTCACTGGGACCTGGACTGGCTACCCCTTGGCCTTCGATGTCCTAGCTTTCAGAATTGCGAAGAGCTTTCTTTTGTGTAAACGACTCAACATGTGG